GAATTACCATAGTGAAATTCTTTTAAGTGTCTGGAGATTGGTGTTTCAAGACGGTTTTTTGGAGATCTTACATGTTCAAGTATTCTTTCCTTAAAGGCTCTAAAGGTTTTCCCCACATATTTCTGTCCACAAGAGCATGTCAACAGATATACGAGGCCCTTGGTATTACAATTGAAGAAGCTCTTAACTTTGAATGTCCCTTGATCTAAACTATCATTAATTACCTTAGAGCCCTTGGAAATATACTTGCAGGCTACACACCTGCCACAACAGTAAGTGCCACATGGGGGAGTTCCCAGCCAAGAGGGACGTATCTGAGATTTAGTAGAAAAGTGACTTGGAACCAACAAGTCACGAATGTTACGTCCCCGTCTTGCTGTCATATTAACCTGTGAACCCAACACCTCCTTGAGATGTACATCATTTAATAAAATCGGCCAGAATCTATCCAGTGATCTTCGTACCTCAAACCACCCTGTATCATAAGTCGCAATCATGCGAATAGTGTCTGTTTCCCTCTAAGGTAATTAATGATAGTTTAGATCAAGGGACATTCAAAGTTAAGAGCTTCTTCAATTGTAATACTAAGGGCCTCGTATATCTGTTGACATGCTCTTGTGGACAGAAATATGTGGGGAAAACCTTTAGAGCCTTTAAGGAAAGAATACTTGAACATGTAAGATCTCCAAAAAACCGTCTTGAAACACCAATCTCCAGACACTTAAAAGAATTTCACTATGGTAATTCAAATCATCTTCGTTTCTGTGGATTGGAATTAGTAAAGAGAAATCCCAGACGGGGGAATTTCGATAAAATTCTGAGACAACGTGAGTCTAGATGGATTTATGAATTAAAGACACTTCAACCTCTAGGCTTGAATGAAGGCTTCTCATTTGCCCCTTTTATTTAGCTACATATGTATGGGAAGCTTCTTTTCATTAACCTATATATATTAAGGTAGATTAATTTTACTACCATTTATTAATAATTCAATGATACTCCATCTTATGTTTATGGGACCAGCTATTAATAATTCAATGATACTCCATCTTATGTTTATGGGACCAGCTGGTTATGACTGTATTTAATGACCACGTGTATAATGTGTGAGGCTTACACCATTTATTATCTGTGTATTTCTTCACCTATGTAATTATGATCAATTTTGTTTTTTGTATTTCCCTTTCTTCCCCCCCTTTTTTTTCTCCTCCCTTTCTCCCCTCTTTCTCTGGTTTTTCTTCCATCTCCCTGTACATGGTCTGTGATTTAGTCATAAGTCTAATGTGAAGACTATCCCTTAAATTTATTATACATAGGGGAGTATTAACTAAGCGATTAATCAGGACTATGTCTGTCCTGTTGAGCTATTTGGTAGGATCCATTCGTGCCTACCTCTTTCTCTTTTTTCTAAGTCCATGCGCATGTGCGCAGGACGAGAGACTGGCTGCTGGACGTAAACCACTCCCCCCTTTTTAAACGGAGCCAGATGGGTACGTCCCCACTAGCGATCGATTGGCTCTTGTCTATCTGGTAGGGGGAGTTAATGGGGTATATGAAGGGGAGATTTCGAGCGGGAGAGTGCTATTATATGCCCTTGATAAAGGCGGTTTACCCGCCGAAACGCGCGTTGGGCAACATGTATGCAGTTTGTGCCTAGCCCTCTGGTTGATTTATCTTTTTTTAATCTCGTTCACCTAGTCAAGTTAATGCCATGATGGTAGTATATGTGAGACTAGTCTGAGATTATTAGTTGGAATGTTTTTTCCTCTTATGCACTTTATATATCCACTCTTACCTCTTATCTCACTATCCTTTCGATTTCCTTTATATCCCAATGCATTGTATACTTAGGAGTATGAAGGATTGAGTGAGTGAGGAATGGTGCATTAACAGGGTTAGAGCATAGAATCTTTTCGGCTCAGCTGCTGTGATCTAATTTGATACATTATATTAGTACACTATATCTATGTATACTGTGTGACAATTTATAGATTGGTATTTACCACAGATCTATTCAGCACTGCTGTTTTCAGCCGTATTAGTCTGCATTCTTTTTTCTTTTTTTCTTGTGGGTTAGGGTTAAGATTTTACTATTTACAATAAAGAATTTTTTTAATGGGTATAGGATTTGTTTAGGTGTGATACTTTTAGCCTACACATTTTTTTGTGTTGGGGTAGCTGTAGTAGTAGAGGATTTTTCCTCATAGTGGGGATTATTTCCCCTTACTAAAGTTTAAAATAGGTAACAAAACCTTTAGACATCCGGTGATAGTGGTAGATCTCCCCTATGACCGACTGATTCTGGGTATAGACATACTCAGAAGACTTAACACAATTATTGACTGTGTGAATGGAATTGTATGGTCACAAGCTAAGGTTCCTATAACCTATGAGAAATCACATGTACAATCTGATCGTAATTGCCATGTGATAGAAGAAAGACCTGACTCGATAGAGGTACATTTTAGGAATAGTCAGTCACCTGACGTGACTATCCTGCAGGTGATCCGTAAGAATTGCTCCAGAGAGGATCCAGAGTGTCTCTCTGGAAGGTGATGTTTTAACCATTTCTCTCCACAGGGACTATGTTGAATCTGTAGATCTGGCAGGTCATGCTCAATTCCTTGCCAGAATTGAAAGGGTTAATAACAACTTATTCTTTCCTATTCAAATAAATGACTTAGGGAGAAGTAGGAATGCAAAGCTGGACTTACAGAGTGAGAACAGCTATATTAGCAGAAGTCTGTTAAAGCAGATCACTAATCCTAAAATGATCAGGTACGCTTCCCCACATGACAGGTGGATCCAGAATCTGGATGGCGAATCAGAGAGTCACAATTTGATAGCAAAATGTTTACTATCTATTTCCATCGGAAATAAGACAGTTAAACATTTATTCCTAGTGATAGACGAACCTCGCTATCAGGTTTACATTGGCAATGATGTCATACATCGCTTTGCCATACACCTTGACCTGATTAATTCCAACTTGTGGACAAGGTTAAAAGGTAATCCTTGTGGATACCTACACGAGGAAAACGCCCTGAAATCAGGACAAATACTCCCATATGCGGTAAGTATCCAAGTTCCTGATGACATAACCATTCCACAAGGGACAAGTAATTTTCTTTTACCCCTACAGGTCAAGGAGGGTCAGAGATTAGAAAACTCTGATGCCCTAATCTGTTTATCCAACAGGATACAACAATTAGGGATGGTGGTAACACATACACCTATGGTAAGTATTGGTAAGAATCCCACCTATATCATGGTCAACAATGTTACACCCAATAGTGTTACTTTACCAAAAGGAACATTATTAGGTCTAGCATTGGATGCTGAGTACTATACATTTGGTTTCCAAAACCAAATTATAGGCCTCATCCCTGAAGAATACTTAACTGAGGACGAAATTGTCGATCAAATATTCCATTCCTCCCCAGAAGGATTATTTACTATCCTATCTGTATATCTCTTCAACGTCGAAGAAGGCTCGTGTAAAATCGAAGAAGCATCTATCACCTTCGATCATCCGCTCAATGAGCAGGAATCACAAGAGTATCACGACCAAAGAGAAAAGGTAAGTCAACACCGAACTGACCTAACTTCTAGGCTTGAAGAAGCTTATGAGATAGGCCAGCCTGAAATCTTTCCAGGATTTCAGGAAAGGCTAGAAGAGCAAATATCTTTAGCTGACGGTTGCTCCAACGATGCTGAGCGGCAACAGCTAAAGGAAATCCTTTTGGAATTCCAAGATATTTTTGCCAAAGATTCCTACGACTGTGGGTTAACTAACCTCCACGTAGCCAGAATACAAACTGATCCTAATTTACCACCTGTATTTATCAAACAATATAGACTCCCATTAGCGTCATATGATGGTCTACAAGACATCATTCAGAATTTAAAGGAAAGGGGCATTATACGTCAAGTGCACAGTTCGTATAATAATCCGATCTTGGGGATTCTGAAACCTAATGGACAATGGCGTTTATGCGCTGACTTACGACAGCTAAATAAAAGCGTCTATATGTCTGGTTGGCCGACGCCATACATAGACCAATGTTTGGTACAAATGCAGGGATCCAAAATATTCACTGCCATTGACTGTGCGCAGGGATATTGGACTGTACCAGTCCATAATGAAGACCAATACAAATTGGCCTTCACATTTGGAAAGCAGCAGTATACCTGGACCCGTATGCCTTTCGGTTATATAAACTCTGGTCATGAATTCTCTGTGTTCATGCATAAAGCTATGCCTGACGCACTCGAGAGAGGAACGTTATCATATGTCGACGATGTCTTGCTGAAAAGCACTTCCTTTGATAAGCATATCTTAGAGATTAGACATGTTCTCACTCAGTTAAGAGAGGCAGGGATTAAACTGTCTTTACAAAAGGCACAATGGTGTCGCACCCATGTCAATTTCCTCGGACATGAGGTAACTTCTGAAGGATTAAATCCCCAGAGGAAGAAGGTTGAAGCCGTACTAAAGGCTAAAACACCTTCAAACATCAGGGAATTAAGATTGCTCCTTGGTATGACTAACTACTCCCGTAAGTTTATAGATAACTATGCAGAAATAACGAAACCACTCTTACACCTGCTTAAAAAGGAAACTACCTGGAACTGGGGGGAGCCTCAGGACCAAGCGGTAAGTGAACTGAGGAGGAAGCTCACTCAGGCACCCTGTTTAGCATACCCAGAGGGGGGTAAACCCTTCTATCTGGAGACAGGTTATACCGACTTAAGCATTAGTGCTGTTCTGTATCAGAAGCAGGACAGTTTAAACAAAGTTATTGCATATGCTAGCAAGACTTTGTCGCCTGTTGAAGTTAAATTCAACACGTGTGAGAAGGCGTTATTGTCGACTGTCTGGGCACTACAAAATTTTCGTAGCTATATCCAAGGTGAGAAAATAATTGTAGAAACAGCTCACCAACCTCTACAGTATCTGCAGAGTGAAAGAATTAGAGACGGTAATCTCTCTAACAGTCGGATTACTGCATGGACTCTATCCTTACAGGGATGGCCGTTAGAAGTCCGTTATAAACATAATAAGAGAAGCCCAGTTGCCCAAGGTTTAGCAGAATTACATGACTGTACTGCTCCATCTCTGGATGATAATAACACCGGAGATGACTTCCTAGAAGAGCAATTGCTATCTCCTTATAAAGTTTATGACGAGGAATACTGTCGACCACTACCGTGGGTATACATTGATGGTTGTTCATATCACCACGTCGCTGGTGCTGAACGGAAGTTAGTTGCAGGTATCGGAATCGCCTGGACAGGTGATTATCCCAATGTATCTATAGGATACAATATTGGTCCCAAAAGCAGTCAAATAGCCGAACTCTGTGCAGTATATAAGACCATTCAAATGGCAATAGAATATGGTATCAAAGAATTTGTTATTATAACTGATTCCAACTATGTTCGCAACAGTTTCGTCGAATATCTGCCTAGCTGGAAACGTAACCGAATGCTGAAAAGCAATAACAAACCTGTTAAACACGGAAAATTGTTTTGTAAAATCGATGAACTGGTTAAGGAAAATGGTTTAACCATCTATTGGAAGAAAACCAAAGGCCATTCTAAAATAGAAGGTATTGACAAAGATGGTAATGACTTAGCTGATTCACTGGCAAAACAAGCTGCCATCGATGGTGAAACCCTAAACATTGATGATCTTATGGGTTCAATTCACATTGAAGCCATAACTAGACGACAGGCTAGAGATAATGCCGACTTAAACGTCGTGCAATGGAGTCAAGAAGCTCCTAGTGAGGACCTGATTACTAGTCAAAAGAATGATCCCGTCATAGGCATATTCTATAAACATATAGAAGACCCTACTGCCAATCCCATCACAGATGAGGATTGCAAAATTAATGAAGATTTACGAATCTTGATGAGATATAAAGTCCAATTTAGTATCATGGATGGGTTACTGGTCAGAACTTCTAAACATGGTATTCAACAATGGGTAGTCCCAACTGTATACAGAGGGTTAATGCTCCAACACGCACATGATGCACCTACATCTGGGCATCGTGGTGATAAGATCACATATGAGATATTGCGTGATTATGCATATTGGCCACACATGTTAAGGGATGTTAAGACATACTGTCAGGGATGCTTGATTTGTCCGCAATTTCAACCCCATGGTCCAACCCATCGTGCACCACTTCAGAAGAGGGGGGTGTCATTACCCTGGTCTGATATTCAAATTGACTTTATAGGTCCTGTAACAAGATCTTCAAGAGGTAACAAATACATGTTAACCGTTACATGTATGTACACAAAGTGGATAGAATGTTTGCCTTGTAAAGAGAACACGAGTACCGTGTGCGCCACTTTGTTGATTAACCATGTCTTTTCCAGGTTCGGTCTGCCTCAAAGAATTGAGTCAGACAGAGGTAGTCATTTTACCAGCGAAGTAATGGCTAAGATGTGGAACATTCTAGGTGTTAAACGAAAGCTACATATTGCATACCGCGCTGCGTCTAGCGGGGGGGTAGAGCGATATAACCAGTCTATCGTTAATATTCTGAAGAAATATGTTAAGGAGTCTGGTAAAGACTGGGACATTAAATTGCCCCTAGTTTTAATGGCGATTAGAGCTACACCTAGCACTGCTACCAAATTGTCACCTTTTGAATTGATGACAGGAAGAAAGATGGTTTTACCACAGCATTTACTATATCGTACTTCAGATCATAACTTGATCAATGCTGCCACTACGCATCAGTATATCGAAGATTTGCGCAAGCATTTACAGCATGCGTTTGCTTTTGCCCAAAATAATCTAGAAAAAGCAGCGACAGGGGTTAAGACCTATTACGATCTAAAAACCACGAAAAAGGAATATGAGATAACAGATCAAGTCTATCTGTATAACTTTGCGCGAAATCAAGTCAAGGAAAATAAATTCTTACCTTCTTGGAAAGGGCCATATGTCATCATTGACAAAATTTCCCCAGTAGCGTACAAGATAAAAATTCCTAAGGATGGTGATTTTATTGAAAAGTGGGTTCACATTAACCAGTTGCGTGCTTGTCATCCTAAATCTCAATTATTGATTATAGGTGTGGATTCAGATGCAGAAGGGTGAACGACTAACCTGGATGAATGCTTGATTCACGTGGTATAGTATGATGTGAAATGTTGTGATGTGCCATGATCTCATGTACGTTCATGTCATTAACCATTTCCTTGCCATCCAATAACTACATTTCTAAGCAGGTTACTAGCTTGTTTAACTGCTATAGGCATGTTACTGAAGAGTCAGTAATAAATGTAGTGAGGGATGAAGTTATAAAAATAGAATTAGAGAGAATGTATATGTTGATGAATCGTAATAATGTGTTGTCCTAGGCCAAGTGATGTCACACTGTTATAAGTTTGTATGCTTAACAAACCTTGAATCATTAGTACATAAGTCTGAAACGAGTTCCTGATCCGTGACTGTCGAAAGATGTCCAAGAAGGATGTGGCGTGTTTCTGGATCGTATTGCTCCTGTGCCAAGAGCTACGGACCGACCCGATTGCAGAAATGGGACCATCCTCCGGCATCCTGATTCAAGAGACACCAGGGTTCATCTTAACAGAGAAGAGGATCCTGACCCGACGTGTGTTCGTCAGCTTGGACCCCAAGATTTCCATCGAGAAGGCATACACCATTTCAACGATGCAGCTTCCTGAGTTACAGACTTGGTACCAGATGCATCTCCAAAGAGCACAGGACCATGTGCAAAACATCTTGGAGCAAGCCCGGAAACCATTTGTATCCAGTTCTATTCCGATGAGCAACCGACCCAAAAGGTTCCTCACCGCTATAATTGTTGTATTAGTTTGTGCCACTGTCGGTGCAGTTGTCGCAACTGGAATGTCTGCAGCCAACTCTATTACTGTCCAAAAGCTGGATATGGAAATCTATGCGCTAAAGCAACACATTAAGGATATTCATCAGGTGATACAACAGCAAAGAACACTTCTCCAAGATGTGTTAACTATTGTGGAAGACACAGTTGTTACAACGAATTTGCATTCGGAGTTAATTGCCAAATCCACTGGGTTGCACCAAAGTCATGACTTATTTAAGCGTGAACGTCTATTTCTGCATGACCCAATATTGTTCCACACACTTGCTTTTCTTGATGAAGTGCAAACTGGAATGATCGAATTGGCAGGGGGACGCATACCTCTGTACTTTGTATCCAAGGATATTGTTCATGCGATGCTTGCCAATGTGGATGGAGAGACAATTGAGCCTATGCAATTAAATCTGGCCTTTGAGATGGGGAGCGCTATACCTCTCTTAATTGATCCGGAACGTATGGAGATTTGCTTTTTATTGACCATCCCATATGTAACTCCCAAAGACATTTTTCAAATGAAAATAATGTGCTATGTTAATAATGGTATTATGGTTGATTGTACTAAGTGTAAAGTTCAAAACTTTTACAGGTACAAATATATACAAAAATGTTCATTCCACGCACGGGCCTATGTTAGAAATGATGTGATTGCACAATATGTCTGATAACTTCTATAGTGCTTATTCATAAGCTAAATTAATTTTGGCTATGAAATGCACTAAAGGGGGGTTATGTCAGGGTATTTATATCGGCAGACATCTTGTGCTATGATAGAAATTAAAAGTGTATATTCTGAGTCACTCTGAACAGAGCAGACTCCATTTTGTTATTTCCAAGTTAACAAAAAGACACACGATTTCTTTCTGTAAGACTAGCCACTTTGCCAGAGCTAAAGGAATGCATAGTATAAACAAGTGATAAGAAGAAAGGGGGTTGGACAGACTGTCTAATGCTAATGGAATATAATCAAATCTAAACCCAGACAATTGTGACAGAGAAGATTAAATAATAAAATTTAACTGTCTATATATATATAAGGTACCATTGTATGGAAAAGGGTAAACTTAGTTCATGATCTGCCATATCAGAAAAAAACTCAGATTTGCAGACACATAGTCTGGACAAAATTTAAGAAACCCTTTGAAATGTTAAATTATGGCACTATAAAGATAACGCAAAATGACTTCAAAATAGCCACCAGGAAAAGTTAACTCTTTCCTGCATAGGTATGTTTAGTGGGACAAGACTGCCCTCTATAGACCAAATAACTAATTTGCGATCTGGAAGATAACCACACCTCTAGTACTTCTATTGGGTTATCAACTGATGACGTACAGAGAGTCTGGCCCTTTAAAAGTTAAGACAAAGGGAAGACAGGGATATGCAAAGAGGCAAAGGAGAAAGAAAAAGAGGAGAGAGGAATTGGAAGTTTGGGGTCTCCAACCTCCATGCAGAGAGACATCCAAATAAGTTCCTGAGACTACCAATCAGATGAAATATCTACTCAACTGGTAATTATACTGGTCTCATTTAATTAATTCAATTAATTAAAATGTATTAATAGCATTATATATGACTGGATAAAGCATGGTCAGATTTCCATATTAAGAAATCTTAGTTAACTAAGAATATATAGTTATAAACATTCCATTCTGCAGGTGGAATTAAGAATAATTATATATTGATGTGATATTATCACGTGGTAGCATACCGTTGTTTTTATCCAGGTGTATTGATTTGCTCTAAATTAAGATAAGATATCTTTTAGACAAATTAAACTCTGCTTATATAACATGGTAGATTCTCTTATTGGATGGTTTCAGGAAATGACTAATGAACTGGTATAAATGTTATTTTATTTAAAATTACATAAGAATAGATCTTAATTACCTAGGAGATCTAGCCAGCATTGAAAGGGTTATTCTAACTGTCAGCTAAACTTTACGACTTTACGCTGCACTCTGAGGAATTCTGTTCTTCGCTGTGAAAAGTTTCACTTTCAGTCTGTGTGAAAGATAGTCATAAATCGTCAGAATTCTTGACAGGAAATGCTATTTAGCCGTTGAGACGTGTGTAGCCATTTCTTTGTATTGCATATCATTTTATACTGGATATTCATTGATTATTGTCATGCATGTTGCATAATATTATTATTAATTAATTTGTCATTATAAATAAAAATCTATTTTTATAAATCGTGAATATTATTTATATGATATACTTCTCACTTAACACGATAAACGTTCTTTGGGATCTGAGAATTGAATTAGTGGGCGATTCTCACTGTTACTATTATTATCCCATAAATATCCCCACATCATGCATGAAAAAGGACATTAACTCTCTGGATGAGAATATCATTTTGCCTCTTTATAAATTGCTGGTAAG